CTACGAGAGCGTGATGAAAGAGTTAAAGTAAATTTCTAACATGGGTAAAAAAGAAGAAAAGCAAATAGGAGTAAAAGGCTTTTAATATATTTTTAAATTATTGTGATATGGGAATATAAATTATAAAAACATGCATTGTCATCCATACTAAACATGTATTAAAAATTTTAGATCTCAATCGGTTGAAAACATCAGCTTTAAAACTGATTTGCAAGATTCCACCCAAACAATTTACATTGCAAGCTAAATAAAAGCTTGTTAGAAACAGGAAGAACGAGGAAATTGAAATTTAAACAAGAGAAATAATTTTCGAAGGAAAATTAAAGCGATTTAGAGTACATTTAAAAACTGCGAGATCGCGGGTGTCGAACCCGGGTTATTCATTTTGAAGTCCTTTTCTCTAACCACTATACTACGAGAGCTCGTGGAAAGAGGTAAAGTAAGGTACTAACATGTGTAAGAATTTTTTAACTAATTGCCATATCGGAAATAAAATAATTAAAACATGCATTGTCATCCAAACTAAACGTGTATACGAAATTTCAGCTCAATCGGCTGAAGAAATCAGCTTCAAAGTTGAGTTGCAAGATTCCACCCGAACAAATTACTGTAATTAATATCTTTTTAACTAATTGCGATATGAGAATAGGAATGATCAAAACATGCATTGTCATCCAAACTAAAAGTGTATACAAAATTTTAGCTCAATCGGTCGAAGACATCAGCTTCAAAACTAGGTTGCGAGATTCCACCTGAACATTTTACACTGCAAGTTAAATAAAAGCTTATAAAAGAAAAGAAACAGAGACAAATAATTGCAACGCAATCGGTTCGACTGTTCAATATATATAGACAAAAAACATAATAAAAACGATTGCACCTTGTAATGGTGCGCTTTTTCTTTGAATTTATATGAAAAATAAAAATGCAGTCTAAAGCTGACACAATACATAGGCGTTCAAAAAAAAATCTGTGCAACTCATTATTTTCAATAACTTTTTGTAAGTACAAAATCCAATTGATTATTTTAAACATGCGATAATTAAACTTTTTTAATTAAGAATTTTCCTTTTACACAGCTTCAAATTTAAAAAAAAACTACATGTGACTAAAAGGTACTTACTTATATATAATTTATTTAAAGCCTGTTGCAGCTGGAATTTCTAATTAAATTACATTTCTTAGTATTAAAGGACCAAATATGCAATGTCTGATCTGGTGGTTGTCCTTCCTTAGGTTGGTTGGGTTAAATTTCTGGCACTAAGACATACTGTGTCAAACACAAAGTCACTTATTGGGAGGTACTACTGTATTTTTACCATATTAAGATAATTTGTGAAGGAATATCTAATTGTATTTGCTTTTATGAAAAAAAAATCAGCCTATAAAAATAAAATACTTTGTTTAACGATCTTAATTGAAAATCTTACTGAGTTAAATGAAACCTAGGCTATTTTATTGTTAATGAAATTATTTTGTATATATGTGGCAATATATAGTTATACTTAACAGTGTATGGATTGTAAAATCTTCTCTTTGTATCTAATTGAAATAATATTGTTGACACGAATCTTTTCTCGTAAGGTAACTTTTTCATTTTTGGATCGAGACGTTTCACACAACCATCTCTCCTCTCTCTCTCTCTCTCTCTCTCTCTCTCACACGCATTACTGATCTCAGTATTAAAAAAATTGCAGTTCATTTGTCTGTTGCTTATAGTAAATTTCGTTTTTTTTCCCTGAATCATTAAATGTGAAATCAATATAAAATATGTATTTGCAATTTTTTTTTCTTTTTTCACACATCAAGTGAAAAATTTTATAATCATTTTGTTATTATCAGAACAATTTTATAAGTCATTGTGTTATCATTGATTAAAGTATCCCAAAAGCATTTTTTAATATTCTTTCTGAATATTCAAAGTTTGAATTATATCAGTAATTAATGTGTTATTTCAATGTTTCCTTTTTTTTACTCTAAAAAAATAATTTTAGTAATATTATTTTGCTATTATTACAAGCTTTTATTTAACATGCAATGTAAAATGTTCGGGTGGAATCTTGCAACTCAATTTTGAAGCTGATGTCTTCAACCGATTGAGGAAATTTTGTGTACACGTTTAGTTTGGATGACAATGCCTTTTTTGACTATTTATATTCCGAAATTGCTGTTAGTTAAAAATATATTAATTAAAGTAATTTGTTCGGATGGAATCTTGCAACTCAATTTTGAAGCTGATGTATTCAGCCGATTCAGCTGAAATTTTGTATACACATTTATTTTGGATGACAATGCATCTTTTCACCATTTATATTCCGATATCGCAATTAGTTAAAAAGATATTAATTAAAGTAATTCGTTTGAGTGGAATCTTGCAACTCAATTTTGAAGATAATTTCTTCAACTGATTGAGCTGAAATTTTGTATACACTTTTAGTTTGGATGACAATGCATGTTTTGACAATTTATACCCGATATTGCAATTAGTTAAAAAGATATTTAAAAATGTAATTTGTTCCGGTGGAATCTTGCAACTCAATTTTAAAGCTGATTTATTCAACCGATTGAGCTGAAATTGCATATACACGTTTAGTTTCGATGACAATGCATGTTTTGATAATTTATTTTCTGATATGGCAATTAGTTAAAAAGATATTAGTTAAAAAATTCTTACCCATGTTAGAAGCTTACTTTACCTTTATCCTCGAGCTCTCGTAGCCTAGTGGATAGAGAAAATGACTTCAAGTTAAATTCCCCGGGTTCGACTTCCGTGAACTCTAGTTTTTAAATTAAAACTAAATTACTTTAATTTTCCTTCGAAAATTATTTCTCTTGATCAAATTTCAATGTCCTCGTTCTTCTTGTTTCTTACAAATTTTTTATTTAGCTTGCAATGTAAATTGTTTGGGTGGAATCTCTTGCAGCTCAATATATTGAAGCTGATATCTTCAACCGATTGATCTAAAATTTTTAATACATGTTTAGTATGGATGACAAAGCATGAGTTTTTATTATTTATATTCCCATATCTCAATTAGTTAAAAATATATTAATTAAAAGCCTTTTACCCCTGTTTGCTTTTCTTCATACCCATGTTAGAAGTTTACTTTACCTCTTTCTACGAACTCTCGTAGCCTACTGGTTAGAAAAGCTGACTTCAAATGAATTACCGAGGGTTCTAATCCCGTTAATTCGCAGTTTTTAAATTTACGTTAAATCGCATTAATTTGCCTTTGAAAATGATTTCTCTCCATCATATTTAAATTTTCACATTCTTTCCTGTTTTTAAAAGCTTTTATTTAACTTTTTACGAATAATTTTTGGGTGGAATTTTGCAACTAAATTTTGGAAATGATTTGTTCGACCAATTGAGCTGAAATTTTGTATACAAGTTTAGTTTAGATGACAATGCATGTTTTGACAATTTATATTCATATGACAATTAGTTAAAAATATATTAATTAAAGTGTTTCTTTTTCGGGTGGAATCTGGCAACTCAAATTTGAAGCTGATGTCTTCAACCGATTTAGCTGAAATTTTGTATACACGTTTAGTTTGGATGACAATGCATGCTTTGACCATTTTTATTCCGGTATCGCAATTAGTTAACAATATATTAATTAAAAATCTTTTACCCCTGTTAGCTTTTTATTCTGCCTAGCATTTTATAGGATTGTGCTTAAAACGTTCCGATTTTTCGACCTTTTTTAAAAACCCGTCTTATTCTTTTTTTCAAACTGAGACAAAAAATAATTACATAATCGGAAAGATCATTTATTTCGTCACTATACGGTGTAATGTTTTAAAAAAATAATGATAATTTCTATTTTGTATGATTTTTTCTAAAATGCATTTTCATGAAAATGATTTCTTAATCGTTCAGTATGAATTCTTTTTTCGTTTTAAGGAATCTATTTGTTGCACTGTAAAAGTTAAGCCATTTCTCTTTTATAGAATCAGTCATTTAAAAAATAAAATACAGAAAATCTTTTTCCTGCGATTTTTTATAAAATACTCAAATTTTTAATAAATCATTTAAAAACTTCGTTATTTTTAAAGATAATCGCACGAAACTTTTTTTTTCGTTTGTAGATTAGTATTATCCAAATTCAGCGCAAAGTTTTAAAGATTGGCTTATAATTATGGATCTTAAAAAAAGATTGTTTGCTTTTCGTTTTTAATACAGTAGTATGGTAAAAGAAAAAAAAAAGAGTTTTAATATTTTGATTAATTTTGCTTTGTCCAATGTTGTTTTGTTCTTACAGTGTTTATCCCCGTTCCCCATTATCCTCTTGTTGCGTCTCGATTGAAATATCTATCATATGTACGTGACCTTATGAGAAAAAAGATGGAGTACCCCAGAGCCAGCCTGTTGAAAATTAACTGTCAAACGATCTTGCAACAATGATGCGTTGAATGAGTTGAATAAATAGAGTGAGAAACCCCCCTGTCGAGCGATAACTAAAAAGTTAAAAATAAATTAAAAGTAAAAAATCCTTTTAAAAACAAGCTTTTATTTAATTGCTCTAAAAAGAATAAAATAAACTTTTCTTTTAAAATTTAAATTTACCTGCGTAGATAAACAAGCAAATTAAATAACTTGATCTGATTGTGATCTTAATTTTTAAAATTTTCAATCTAAGTAAATATACGTTTACGTAAATCTCGCGACGAGATTTTATACCATAAATTGTGTATTGACGTTATAAATTAATAGCAAAAAAAAAAAAATTGAAAGAAAAGTTTGTTATTCTTTTTAGAGCATTTAAATAAAAACTTGTTTTTAAAAGGTTTTTTTTTATTTTTAATTTAGTACTGTTCTAGAGGGAACACTAAGAAATTCAGATGTGTCAAACTATTTCTATTTACTTTGAAACATTCTATGATATCTATTTACTCGATTCTAGTTTTTCCCGTAACACGTTTAATTGATTTAGTTACTGTAACGATTTTGTTCAGGTGTTAAGATGAGCATGTTTACAATAACACAGGTTTTGACCGGAAACTTAGCTCATATGGTAGAGCACTCGCTTATCATGCGAGAGGTACGGGAATCGATACCCCGTGCCTCCAGTTATTATTTCTTCTTGTAAAATATTTTTGAAATTCGTTTGATTTGAGCAAATAGATATTTTACAATACTTCCACTCTGTATACGTACAAAGTATGTTATATTTTACAAGCTTTTATTTAACTTGCAATGTAAAATGTTCGGGTTGAATTTTACAACTCAATTTTGAAGCTGATGTCTTCAACCGTATGAGCTGAAATTTGATATGCATGCTGTTTGGATGAATATGCATGTTTTGACCATTTATTTTCCGATATCGCAATTAGTTAAAAAGACTAGTTGCACGGGCTTTCTCTACTTTTATAAATTTTCCCTTTCCTTCACAAAATTAGCACTTCTAATACTCTTTTTCAAAATGACTTCCACCCCCTCCTCCGCTTAGCCCGGCGTTTCTCGGGCTTTTACTGAGTGTGTAACTTAAAATTCCCTGTTTCGAAATTTTTTCGCTTCTTTTCTTTTCAGACAGGTTTATTTCCCCCCGGCGTTGCCCCCTCAAGGGGCTCAATTTCTTTAGGTGGGTACGGGTGTCTTAATCCCGAGGTACTCTAGTGATATTTTCCTTTTCCCAAGGGTTTTTCTATGTTTGGTAAACACGGGTGTCACGACCCCGGGGTTTCCCAATGATTCTTCTATATTTTCGACCCTCCATCTTGTCATCCAATTTCTCCTTTTCTTTTCCCGTCCAGACCACAGACCTATGAATGTTTGGCGCAGTATAGCCAAAATTGGATCTTGTACCATAAAACACCAAACTCACTTACTCACTCACCCCCGGAGTTGCCCGAACGTTTTTAATTGCATAACATACTGTCATGGGAATTCCCCTTTCCATCTCGCTATCAGAGCTCACGAGTAAGTGAACATTCACCGATTCTTAAAAAGCTTGACAGGTGGAGTGGAAAACAGGTAACCAAAGCTTGTTTGGGTGTGCTGAATCGTTTACAAAGCAGGAGAAGAGGTAAACATGTCATTACGCCGTTTCCGAGTACAATATGAGCAGCTGCAGCTGTTTGAAAGGTGGAGAATCATTGGCATGTTGAAAAATGGGAGGTCAGCTAGGCGAGTAGCTCGTCAATTAGTCCGCTCTGATTGTTTTGTGAGAAGGTGTTGGGACTAGTAGATCCGAGAGATGTCATTTACACGAAGACCAGGCTAAGGACGCCCTCGACAGACCAGTCTTCGAGAAGACCACCACATAGTTAGAAATGTACGCGTACAGCCAACTGCGTTATCGACCGCCATACAGGCACAGGTAGCACCTTCACTAGGGCCCATGTATCTTCTTGAACCATACGAAGGCGCCTGGCTGAAGGACATTTGGGATCGGCGTCCATTACGTGGGCTGCCTTGACACCCAACTATCGAAGCATCTGTTTGGACTGGTGCCGGGCACGAGGAAACTGGACTGCAGCGGAATAGAACTAGATCTGCTTTAGTGACAAATCCAGATTCAATCTCAGCAGTGATGACAATCGTGTTCGTGTGTGGAGACCCCGTTGTGAACGCCACGATCTTGCCTTTGCTGTACAGCGACACATCGCTCCCACAGCTGCTGTGATAGTATGGGGTACCATTGCCTACGAGACACGGTCACCCTTACCATCGATCCGTGGTACCATGACAGTTCAGCGGTATTTCCATGACATCCTGCAACCACATGTGTTACCATTCATGCAAGGGCGCCCAGGAGCCCTTTTTCAACAAGACAATGCTCGGCCTCACATTTCAAGGATGTCACAAGACTGTCTCCGCACTGTTACTACCCTTCCTTGGCCTGCCCGATCCCGAGATTTGTCTCCAATCGAGCATATCTGGGATAATTTGGAACGGCGAGTTGGGCATCCCAGGATTTTGAATGAACTAGAGTCAAGGATACAGCAAATATGGAATAAAATATTTCACGACATCATACAGAGCTTATGTGACTCAATACTCGATCGTATCGCATCGTGTATTTGCACTATAGATGGGGTTCAACAGGGAATTAAATCCTCCGTTCTTTTGCCTTTTTCTTAGATTTTCTAATCATTTACTTATATCAAAGTTGTCATTACGTATGTAAAATTTCGTTTCCTTTTGACTATTCCATTTTAATGCGTTCATATTTTTGTCCATGATTGTATAATCGCACGAAAATATTTTTTCGTTTGTAGAATATTTTTTTCCAAATTCTGCACAAGAATTGAAAAAATTGGTTTAAAATTATGGATTTAAAAAAAAAAAATCGTGTTTTTCGTTTTTAATATAGTATTATAGTAAAAGCAAAAAAAAAAAAAAAAATAAATAAATAAATAAATAAAAATGTGTGTTTACTTATATACGCACGTAAGAAGTTATACTTCTTTGGCGTAACAAGATTAAAATCTTTCTAAAAATCTTTAGCAGATTACACTGGGCCAAGGATGAAAGGCAGTCACGAGCAGAGTTGAACGATACTAACCTTCAGTCAATCGGACCAGCCAAACCCGAGATAATCACTATTTAAATAAATGTAAGAAACCCCACACACAGGGACAAAAGGACCAATAACATGGGGGGTATCAGACTGTATCTGGAGATGAAGTGACCCGAATGTGACATCTGAGACCTCATATTCAATGTCTCGGCGGGAAGAATCGTTTCTGAGAAAATTAAGACAACCGCCTGTAGAGACTTCGAGTTATGGTCATTTTAAGGTATGTGACTACCTTCGGAGCACTTTTTTTGAAAAATATAAATTTTCAACTAAATAAACACTTTTTTATTTGAAATAGGGCTTAAAACATGGAATTCAAGTACAATTTCCGCAAAATTAAAAAATAGTTTTGGATATATTGGGATTATTGGGTGAAATTTTAGTGAAAAATTGCAGTTACATTAAGGCTTGTATTGAAAATTCTAATTAACATATTTGAATAATATCTGTACAGTACATAAATAACATCATTATCTCTATTTAGAGCTATCAAATTTTTAATACTTTTAAAAGTTTTTGAAATATATCATTTTTTATTCAAGAACTCAGTTTTTAAAAAACAATGTATTTTCTCAAAAATAAAAAAAACATAAATATATAAAAGAGATTAAATTGTATTATATAGGAGATAAAAAATAAATAAAAAAATTTTTTGTAAATTTTAATTCAATTTTTAAAAGAAATTTGAGAAACTTTTTTAAAAAAATTAAAAAAATTTTAAATGTTTAAAAATTTTTCCAAAATTTAAATTAAAATTTTCCAAAATTTACTTTTTTAAAAATTTTTAAAAATTTAAGATTTTTTTAGAATGCTTAAAATTTGGCATTCCTTTTTTTACTGAATTTTTAAGACTTAAAAATTGCTTTTAAAATTTATGTTGCGCCATCCGTTTTCCAAATAATTTTTAAACAGTACTTTATAAATATTTTATATGTGTTAAAAATTTGTTTTGTAAAATTTTGAAAGTTTTTAAATATACAAATTTTTTAAAAAACATGATTTTTTTAAAAAATTTAAAGTTTTTTTTTTTTTAAAAAAACGTAAACTACACAAAAATATAAACATAGAGAATAGATTTTGATTCATAAACATATATCCAAAAAAACATGTTTTGAAAATTTAGCAAAAAAAAATATTTTGTGCTACTTCCGGTTTTTTAAACCCGTTTCCGGTTTACTAATTATGCTATAACTTTGTTCCGATATCGAGCAAAAAGAGTGTTTTTAATTTTTAAAATTTTGGGCTTAAAAATAAAACAAAAAAGAATTTTTCGTTTTCAAAAACCAAATTTTTGGGGGGACATATCAAAACTAAAAAATTTAATAAAATAAAAACGGGGCCCCCAGCAACTCGAACCAGGACCTGGTTGTGAGCCACAAGAGAATCCTTTGAACGGTCCGAGTTTAAGTTAAAAGGGGGTGGGCCAGCCAGGGGAGAAAAACCCCCCGGGTGAAGAACTGTGCCCAAAAAGCCCTACCTAACGATAAAAGGAAGTGGGTGACCCAAAGTATCACCCTTTCGTCTTTGAATACGCCGCATCGAAAGCAAACCCCCCGGGAAAAACATGAAGATTCTAATTTTAGGAAAACGCCCCCCCAAGCCCACTACCACACGGTTATAAAATGAAAGAGCTCAAAAAGGAAACCCCCATGGTCCGTTTTTTCGTTAACAAACCAACCGGCTTGGGATTTAAAAAATTTTTAGCTAAAATAATTTTAAAATGATAAATAAGGGAAAGAAATGGGCTATGGTCCTGAAAAAATATATTTGATGCTCAAGGGAAGAACAATGAAACCAGGGGCTGAAAGGGGTAGATTGGTTATTTCTGGGAAACTGTGGAAGAGGAGGCCAATTCCACGTAAACTGCGCTAATACGAAAATAGGGGGACCTTAAAACCCGCCCCCAAACTCAACCCTTTGCAAAAAGTTTTTCAATTTCCCAAAAAATGGGGGATGCTATTATAGTGTTAAGCCCCCCCGCCTACACAAGGAATGAAGAAAGACGGGTGGGTCTTGACGAGTAGAACACTTGTTCAAAACTCAAGTCCGAGACTCAGGAATAAGAGCCACTATATTGTAATTTTAAACAAATTTAAAAGTTTAAAGGCAATTAAAACTATGGAGGTAGAATAGCTCTCATGAGTATGCGAAAATTGAGTAATAACTGGAAGAGCTGATACAGAGGACGGAACGCCAGGTCCGAATGGGACGTGAGGCTCGGGGTGCAGATATTGGCCAAAAGCTGCAGAGTGGGGACCGCGTCCCTCTAAAGAGGCGTGCTTCACGAGTAACAATAACTATTAGGCGAGATCCTCCAAATATATCAGTCTCATAGCAACAAAAAGTGGGTGGCGTTAAAATATTAGATTAAATGGTGTGCGCGCGCGCATCGGTGTTACGGGCGCGTGCAATGCTTCCGTGACGGTGTGTAAGCGCACGTGTAAAATTTACCCCTCATCCTTTTTCCCTAACGCCCAAAAGAAGTATACAAAAGTGAAAATAAATATACGAAGGCTCTTATAATTTGCTACAATTTAATAAATGTGT